ACTCCCCCCAGACTCACCCCTCTTCCCCATTTTTTCCATCCGTGCCGAGTGTGTTTCTGCGTTAAGTCTCAGTGCATCGTGCCAGCCCGGCGTTGGGGACCATCCCCGGGGCAGGGTGCTGTTGCTGGGGAGGGAGTCAATCCAACTGGGACCGGGCAGGGAAGCCACTGGTGTCCTTAGGGAGCAAAGCCTGCGGCGGTGGGGAGCTGCATCCCTTGCAGGGCACAGGCTTGGTCCTTGCCTCCATGGCGTGATGTAGGGTCGGTCCCCAGTTTCCACGGGGGGACGTGGGACGGTTGCCGGCTCCGCTAACAGCTCCCTCCCGTGCACAAGAAGACCCCCACGGCCATGCCCAGCAAGGTGAAGGTCCCCAAAATCAAGCCCAGCACCAGCGGGGCGTGCGACCGGCTGCGCTGTTTTCCTGCAAGATTGGAGAGGGATGGAGATGATGACCGGCATCATCCCCCACCACGTCACCATCTCCCAACCCCACCCCAGCTCCGGCACGGACCCGTCCCGGCGCTTTGAGCCCGCAGGATGCCGACACAGGTGGTGTTGAGGAAATGTTGGAGGTCCTGGGTGGTCACGGCGTATTTCATCAGCTCCTTCTCAGCAAAGGTGGCCACCGCGTCCCTGCCGGGCCAGCGCCGTTCCCAGGTGGCGTTGGGGACGTGGAAGGTGAGGAAAGCCGTCCCGTTGAGGGTCACCTCGTAGAAGCTGTGGGCCGTGCCGTTGGGGAAGAGGCGGCAACCCAAACGGCAACAGAGGTTCTGGGTGTCTGAGGGGACAGAGGGAAGGGGTCAGGGGCAGCACGCTCCCGCCCTCGGCAGCCCATTGCCCTCACCAGCGTCAAGCTGCGCGTTGAGTTTGCAAGGCCTCAGCCTTGCACCACCCAACCCACCCCACAGCTTTTTTTTCGCTAGCTTTAGCCACAGAGGTGACTTTTCCAACAGCCGGGCTTATTTTTCCTTTCCTTATCTGCACAGCTTCGGTTTTACAGAGACGCGAGGTCTTTTGGCGCAGGGCGAGCTATTCATCGCTCTCGCAGAAGGATGCGACGCGGGGAGCACAGGAACACCGGGCGAGGGAAGACGTGGAGCTCACGCCAGAGACCCCGAGGGGAGAAAATGCTCCCCAAGGGCCAGGTAAAGAAAAGTAGAGCTGAGGCAAAACTGGTTTAGAAGAGACAAAAAAAAAAAAAAAAAAAAAAAAGGTAAAACTCAACCCGGGCAGGAACATCAGAGGTAACGTGGGCTTGCGGGACACTGCAGGCAGGAGCACGAAACTCTCAGCGTCCCACACTTCCCAGGAAGGCTGCGGGGTGCAAGGGGGGTGCAGGGTGCGGAAGACGGGTGGGATGAAGGCAGAGTGCAGGCAGGGTACCTACACCTCA